AAGAAGTCATCCACAAATGAATTGTAAAATCCCAAAATCCAGGTTACTAGTTCGGGTCGATATTCGGGTACTTTTCGGGATTTCCGATAAAATATTATTTTTGGATTTCTAAAATTATAAATATTATTGGGAAGTATTTAAATGATTTTTGGAATATTAAATATTATTTTTAATAAATATAAAAATGGATTTTATGAAGTGACTAATTTGAATAAATTGAAAATATTAATTTTAATAACTAAATTATAAATAGATCAAATATCAAAATCTATGAAGCTAGTTTTACCAATACTTATATTTTTTCATCTTTACCTCCATTTTCAACCGTAAGTTTCATTCTCCATTTTCCTTAATTCTTGGCTAGATTCAATCTCATAATTCCTTTCTAATTTTTTATTTGTAACTACCATCTCGTTTCTTTTTATTCTCTTCATCCAAACACAATTGTAACTCTCTCAATTCTCTCCCAAAACCTCCCATGGTCGAATTCTTCCCTCTTCATTGGCTTCCAATTGCTAGTTGATTTTCGCTCATTCTTTCTTTATTTCCTTCCTAAATTCTATTTGCTTCATTTCCTTACCATTGTCGCCCATCTTCTTCTCCATTTGATGTTGCCATCGATTGTTATTCTTCTTCATTTCCTTTATCTTCTTCGTCTTTCTTTCACCATTTCCAGTAACGTAAATTATTAATATTGGATCCTTTTTGTGCTTCAACTATTAAAGATCTACTTTGATAATGATTTTGAATGATCATTGCTTTCAAAAATGAGTTTACAAAATAAAAGTGATTTTCAGAGTTAATTAATGAGATAATTTTCTAAGATGTTGGGATTATTATAACTATACAAAATCATTTTTCAATTGATAATGATTTGGATATCGATTTCTTTAAAACAAGCTTGATTTCAGTGTTTTTTTGAAAATCCGGGACTTGTGATAATTGTTGTTGTTCTTGTGGGATTTTATTTTTTTTAGGTGCTGATTTTGAGTGTTCTTGATCATATTTGATCAAGGTTAAGTAGTGCTATTGAGTTAGGAGGCTTAGATTGCATTCACATTAAGGTTTTCGATCTTTCGGTTGAATTTCGTTCTATTTTAGAAGTAAAATTTTCGGCTCTATTTTAGATGTTTTTGTGATATTTTGAATTTCTTTCTAAAGTGTCTAAGGTGTGTATGATTAAGGGAAAATGGTGCATCAATTGTTGGTAGTCATTTGGTTGGCATTTGGGGTTGAATCTTGTGGTTGCACCATCAAGGTGAGTGGTTGTCCATTCGCTTATGATGAATGTGTTTAATGTTGAATGAAGGTTCAGTTATGTGTGAACTCTGAATTTTAGGTTCTAAATTTGGTATACTTGTTGATAATTTATTGTGTGAATTCATGATGTGTAGATTAAAATATATGATCAAAGTGAGCATGTACCTTTTGACACGATTTATGTAACAATAGAAGTGAATGATCATTGTAAGCATGTGTATATAAGTATGGGAAATGTGAGTTAAGATACATTGAAAGAATATGATTAAGATAAGTATGTGAACTATTATATGTTAATGGTATGTTGTGATGCTTTGGAAGCAAGTGATATTTGCAAGCAAGAGAATTAAAGCATGTTGAATATGAGTTAAGATGTAATGAAAATATGTGATCATTGTTAATGTATATATATGACATGACATACTGGTTATGAATTATGGTGCATTGGAAGAATATGGTTCATTGAATATGCATTGGATATGTGCAATTGATATGAAATGTGAACTTTGGCATGTGTATTGAATATGTGTTAGAAGTGATGCATAGTGGTTTTAAAAGTGTATTTTGAAAGCGTATATATATAAATGTGTTTAGGATGAGTGAAACAAATTCACTATCCATGGATGACTGAGCAACTTTCTGTCCATATAAGGTAGATCATGACAACCATTTCCGATATGTGTTTCAAAATGTGTTTGAAAGTGTATATGTGTATAAGTTATGCATCATTTGATAACCACTCTTGGTGAACTTGTATTAATTGGCTATTTGTTCTTAATGGGACCTTTGGATATGAAATGAATGCATAGGAAAGAGTACTATATGTGTTTTGTAAGTGTATGTGATATCGGGATATAGGGCAAGGTTGGTTAGTTGAGCTTAGCTCCAAAAGTCGTGGTTTTGAACCTAAGTGAGTCCATAAATAAAATGGAGTGTATGGAGTCTGTTTATTTAATGAGTGAGTTGTGTTTTGAAAAAAAAAAAAGGTCATTGATCTTAAATGGAAACAATGTATGCGTTGTTTGTGTCTTTACCGAAAAAAGGTAATTTTGCATGTGATTTGTTGCAAGGTATATGATAATGTAAAACATGTTTATAATCTAGATTTTGTGAGCATTTATGCTGAATTAAGTGAACATTGAAGCATGACATTTTAGTATGATCATTGGGGTAAAAACAAGATTTCATGGCATTTAAGTATGTTTTCCTTTAGCCTTGTCATGTATGCCATATTTGAATGTTTAGTCATTCACTGAGCTTTATAGCTCACACTCGTTGTTTAACATTTTTTTTCTTCAGATTTTTACTTGTTGATTCGAGAGCTTGAGGGGTAATGCACTTGGTGGTGATCAAAGCAAGGAAGATTTTGCAAAGCTATTTTGAACATTAGTTTTATTTTGAGGCAATATGGGATCCATAATTGAGCTTTAAGTTGATTTTTTCTTGTGACACTTGCTAATGCATAAGGGACCTATAATGACCTATATTGTACTTTGATTCTTGAATGAATAATGAAATGTTGAATGTTGATGTTAGATTACATGTGATGCAATATTACTAAGTATGTCTAAGTTCATTAAAATATTATTTATGCCTTTAGTATATGTTTTTATCGCCTAGACAAGTTATAATAAGATGACATAATATGATAGACTCATAGGAGGCATGAAACTACCAATAAAGTACAAATTGGATATGTGACTTGTGGTTAAGTAGCCTTTTTATGCAAATCTTGACTTTGAATTTGAAATGTTTAAATTGTATGTTAATTGATGATACGAAACATGCTACATATATGTTTTAGCATGTTCTAAGTGGTTCAAGTGTGTCCAAGCATATTCATAGGCCATTGGATTGATTGCATGGAAGTTTGGTGGCTTGTTCCTGCATGTTCATATGCATTTTTTTTTGCATTTTTCAAAAAAAAATGATCTATCTCTTTTGAAAAGGGATCCATCCTTTTAGGAAGATTAGCTACTGTTTTGAAAAGGATCGATCTCCCGTGAAAATTGATCAATCCCTTCATTGTGTGCTTGAAATAAATAGGTAAAATTACGTTCATTAAACGCATAAAGTGTTCCCTAAGTCTTAGGATGACCCTAAACTTTAAAATATATTCAATTTGATCCAGAATGTGATTTCTTAATTAAAGCTGTTTTAACTCAGATTTGGTTGAAATTTGTTCTATCAATCTATAATACTAATAATTTCATAATGGAATCTTCAATTTCATGTTTTTGGTTTATGTTAATATTTTGAAAAGTTTACATTTTAGTCTCTAAACTAAGCATTTTCAATTAGATCTCTAAACGATATACGATTAAGCTGAAATTTTCCATGTGACTAAATAAGGTTAATAATTCATAATGTTAACTTTAAATTTTGTTTTTGACATGAATTTTGTAATGGCATGTGAAATTATTATTTTACCCCTGCATAGTTAATAGTATTTATCTTGTGATGCATGATTGTATGAATGTTATAAGCGTGATTATGTTATATATCATTATTTTTGTTTTGTCTGACAAGATCAGATTGTAATGTATGCTCAGATATCCGAGTCATTCTTAGTGTCCGAGTATGGGGTATTTCATTTGATGGTATTAGAACTATATTTAATGTATGTTTGAATGTGTTTTGGGGTTAAATTCAGGAACCATATTTCCTCATAAAAGTTTTATTTTTTTAGGAATTTGCCTTTGATCACATGGTGTCTTTCTCACTCCAGGATTGCTTATATGCATAACTTGATTATTAAATTTGATATTTTGTACTTTGAATTCATTTCTATATATATTTGGATGAGTTTCCCTATGAGTTTATACCTTTTTAATTTGTTGAGTTATTGGATTCTTCGCACTCGAGATCCTAATTATGTGTATAACTTGTGATACTATAAGTGTCGTACTTATCAAATAATTAATCATTTTTCTGAGAAAATTATGCTGTAAACGTAATATAAGGAAGAAATATGTCAGCCCACATAGATTCAGAAATTTTTAATTATGATTCTATTTGATCTTAAACCAAGAAATTTGTAAAACAAAAAATTTAAAAAGATGGGGGTTTGGAATTACTAAGCAAACTAAATAAAATAAAACTAAAGTTAAAGCATTAAAAATAAGAAAAATAAATTGTAGAAGATTAATTAAGATGAGAGATAATCTCTACTACTATCTTCTTTTAATCTATCTCCATCACTGAAATATATTTTACTTTGGATATTTGTCTATTAGAATCTACAAGGCCAATCTTTGTAACTTATATTCTCTCTAGTTAATTAATTTCCAACGATTGATCTGATCTGATTCTCTGCAACTTTTCCGAGACATCTTTCTGCCAGAGCCAAAACCTAGTTTTTTTCCTGTTAAAAGAGTTCATTATATTGTCTAATCAAGAAATTACTTTAAATTTCATCAAGAGGAATCACCTTTGGAATTAGCAGAGTGACACAAAGAAAGAAATGGGGTGTGCTACTTCAAAGAAAGAGGAGGAAGATGGTGTGGTCTCACTGTGTAAAGAGAGAAAACGCCTCCTGAAATTGGCTGTGGAGCGTAGATATGCTCTTGCAGATGCTCAATGCAAGTATAATCAGTCTCTCTATGCGGTTGCAGATGCCATTAGGTTGTTTGTAGCAAGGCATTCCTCTCCTTCTTCTCCTTTCCTCATCACTTTCCCTGCTGCTACTTCCACTGATGAGGCTGCTGAGACCCCTATCACCAATCCCATGTTCTGCAAAAACCAACTGAGCCCACCCATGAGACCATTCCTTGTCACTCGTCTCTTTCAACAGTTTTTATGAAGAGAGTGAATCAAGATCAAGGACATGATGAAGGTCCAAGAACTGAAGAAGGTAAAGAGGGGTAGTGTTGAGTCCTCAGAAGAAGAGCTAGAGAGTGGAGAGGAGGAGGAAGGAGACATCATTTGCGAGCATTTTTATGGTGCAGAAGCTCCACCGGCAATGCCATCACCAGATAAGGAGTTTGCCTGGGATTTCTTTAACCCTTTTGATGAGGTGAGGACAGGGATAGTGAGCAGCTTCAATGACAGTTCTCAGGAGGAATTGAGAGCGGTGAGAGAGAAAGAGGGAATCCCAGACCTGGAAGAAGATGGTGTGAGAGATATGAGTGAGAGAAAGGCTGAGAATGTAACAAATGCTGATGATGGTGTTGAGGAAAGTAAAAATAAGAATACAGATTTGAGTATTAATGGGGATGACCATGATGCTAATATAAGCCAAGGTGAAAAGAATAGTTTCAGAATTATTAAGACACCTACAGCTACTAATGAGAGAGAGTTGTTGGAAGATCTAAAGGATGTTGAGGACCATTTTCTTAGAGCTTATGAATCTGGTTTGGATGTCTGTAGAGTGTTAGAGGCCAACAGAGTTCAGCTGCAATCTGGTTTGGAGGAATTAAAAGGTAGGTTGTCATTCCCTTAAGTATTTTCTTTTCTCTTTATCACTTTCTGTTTCTTGAAAATGCTTCTAATTTCCATGGGTTTTTCTTATCAAATTTAGTTGTTCTTGTATCGTTCTCTTGCAAATTGAATACTAAAGGTTCCTTCTAGTTGTTTTGAGTGTATAATATGTTGTTGTGCAAATTAGGCTAAGAATGAGAATTGATGATTTGTCATATAACAGGAGAGGTTGATTGAATGTCCAAACTATTTTCTTGATGGCCTGTGCATGTCGATTCTTGCTATATGTTAATATTTATGATTGTTTAACTTGCTGACTGGCTGCAGAGAGCTCGAATAAACTTATCCGGTCAATTACTTGGAGCCGGTATCCGTTATCACATTCTTCATACTGCAAAAGTCTTGTTTCATGCAGTTCCAGAAGTTCTTCTACTTGGACTGAATTAAAGATTGATATGTATGATGATTATGGGGGGATGGAATCTGGAAGCCACTCATTGATCCTAGGAAGGTTGTATGCTTGGGAAAAGAAACTCTATGAGAAAGTGAAGGTGCTTAAACACAATTCTATTATTGATCCGAAAACCGGAACTGTTTCTTAATCTTTCTTGAGCGCAAACGCCTTTGTAAACAATTCCTTTCATCTTGATGTTCTGCTTGATCTACTTATATACTCTTGCATTATTCACAGTGGTTCATAACGTCACAGTTCTGTGTTATCAGTTCCAAAATCTTCATTTCCCTTGATCATTCAATCGAAAAAGTAGCCCAATGTGGTTTTGAAATGTTGAATTTTCATCTAAACAACCAGATTTTGAGTGCATTGAAAATTAATGTTTTCTAAGCATTTTTCATTGCTTCCGAACATATTAGAATTCATATAATCAGGCAGCAGACCAGACCAGGAAAACTTGAGACCAAAAATGTTCTCAAATGAGAAACTGCAATGCTAAACGAGATGGCCTCTACTCTGGTGACAAAACCCCTGCTGAAGTGAAAGATTTACATAGCAGAATTTTGGTTGCAATACGAAGTGCCGAAACAATCTCGGAAAGAATTGAAAAACTGAGGGATGAAGAGTTGCAGCCACAACTTATAGAGCTTCTACATGGGTATGAAAGCAAATGACAAAAACAATATTTCAGATGTGTTAGATTTATCATTGTGAATTTGTGATAATCTTTCATTTCTTTCTCCTCCCGCAGCCTAACGAGGAACTGGAAGATAATGATGGAATCACATGAAACCCAAAACCGAATCATGTTCGAAGCTACTTCTTTCAACTATCCTACTTATGGAAAGTTTTGTAACGACTCTCACCGTGTTACCACACTTCAGCTTGTGGCAGAACTTCATAATTGGAGCTCTTGCTTTGTTGCATATTTATCTGCACAGAAGGCATACGTTGAAGCTCTCAGTGGGTAGCTTTCCAAGTTCATTGCCCCTGAGGTAGAATTACGATCCAAGACCCAGGCATTAGGAGTCAATGTTCCACCTTTACTCGCAACTTGTCGTGAATGCTTGGCTAGCTTGGAGAAGTTGCCGAACGAAGCTGTTATTTGTGCATTAAAAAGCTTTGGAAAGGATATGCAAGCACTATGGGTTCAACAGGGCGAAGAGAAAAAACAGAAGAGGAAGGTTGATGGACTTGCCAAGGAACTTGAGAAGGTCTTGGAATTCCAGAGAACAGAGAGCAGGGTTCTTGGTACAAAACTATCTGAGCATGAACTAGAAGTAAATGTTCGGAATCGGATCGAGTATTTGGCAGAAAGAAAAAATCTGTTGCATAAGTTCAGGGAAAGAATAGATGCTGAGAAGCTAAAACACCAAACTATCATGGGAGAGACGCAGCAGATAACCATGAAAGGATTCCAAACAGGATTTTATTCCGTTTTCGAATCCTTGGTTGAATTTTCAAAGGCTTCTGTAAAAATGAATGACGACATTGTGGCTCACTGTGAAATTTCTAAGGCTCCTGAGAAGGAAGATGAAAGTGAACCAAGTTATGTAGATGAAATGAGTTCTTATCTCTGTGGTTGAAGTGGCTGAAACAAGAAGTCCTGGAAAATAATTTGGACATATCATGCCTTATATATATATATATATATATATATATATATATATATATTTTGCATTTCTCAGGTATGGAGTTTCATAAATAAGTCTTGTTAAGCAGCTCACTCGGGAAATCGTTGTTTAATTAGCTGTTTGCTAATATTAACAATCTTTGTTTGATGCTAAAGAGAGTTACATTTCGATGATTTGTAACTGTTTGAGATCATTGTTTAATTGTTTGATCTCTAAAGCTGAAAACATATGATTACTTGTTTCATTGATCTCTCAGATTCTTCTTATCATGTCAATACTGGCACTATCCAACTCGACATGGAACTTCTGAAATCCAACACCATCTATGCTCACAAAGCTTTGGGAATAATCCAGGTCAAATGATCTATGATGTCCTTGTTCCGTTGCTCCAGGAAACGTGGGGGTGGTGGTTGGTTTGGAGCTTCTCAAAGGCTGTTTGTTGATCAAATTGTCGACTGAATAAAGTGTATTTTCCAGTTCTTGCCAGACCTGAGTCATAGTTGGACGGTCTTTAGGCGTTTTCGCAACACATCTTAAACCAAGTTCACCCATTGTCAGCATCATGTCAATGTTGCAAGGTCTGGATAAAAGAGTAGTATCGAGGATTTCTTCGATGTGGCCCCTCTCTATACTCGGCCTCGCCTGCATTTTCAACGGCTCACTTCAGCACATGTATAATTTCTGAATTGGCAGCTTATTAACAACAGTAAGGCAAAGTTATGGTTGATAAATAAACTAACCCAGTCAATGATATGATAATTGGGGTGACTTCTAGCAGAATCCACGGCCGGCCGGGCAGCAATAAGTTGCAGAAGTATTACACCAAAGCTATAAACATCACTAAAAGGACTCAAATGAAAACTTGTACAATAAGCAGGATCAAGGTACCCAGGTGTTCCTTTGATCTGGCTACTAACATGTGATTGATCCCCAATAGGTCCCATTTTCACAAGTCCAAAATCCGAGACTTTGGCTTCATACCTTTCTCCAATTAAGATGTTGCTAGGCTTAATATCTCGGTGGATTATGCTTGGCTTAATCCCATCATGCAAATGAGCTATTCCTGTAAGAGAATAAAAAAGAAGAATCATGTTTATTGTAAAGTTTAAACTAATTTTACAGTGGGAAATCTACCTTTAGCAGCTCCAATGGCTATGTTCACTCTTTGCCTCCATGTAAAGTTTTTTCCACCTCTTCCTACACTCCAAAAATGAGCAGAACTGAGTGTTTTTTAATTGATTTCTTGTCTATGTTAAAGGTGTTTCAAGTGGGAACTTACCCATGATATACTCGAGCAAAGAACCATGTGGTACGTATTCATAAACCAATATTTTTGCACCTTTTGGTCCTGTTTCAAATGAAGTAAAAAAATCTTAGGTTCTTATCACTACCCTAGACAACTGATTAATTAATCAATGATTTGAGGCTCAATATACGCACCGGGTTCTTCACAGAACCCTACCAAACCTACAAGATTTGGATGATTTACTTTCCAAAGAAGCCTAACTTCTGTTTCAAGAAATCAATAAAAACAAGTCAATCTACTTGAGCTGCGGTAAATAAACTCAATTATGGTGTTGAATGCATAAGGCTGCTTACCATTTCTGAATTCTTCAACGCTTTGGTATGATTCAGCATGAGCTCTCTTGATTGCTAATGTACCTTCAACTTCAAAGGTTCCTTTATAGACATTGCCAAATGCACCGGACCCCAACAAACAGTCTGCGCTAAAGTTTTTGGTAGCCTTTTCAAGCTCCTCAACTTGGAAACGCCTCAACTGCAATTTCTCGGCTTTCAGACTTCCTAATTGTACTACGATTTCATGAAAATGATGAGCAAGCAATTCAATAGAAGAATGAATCTACAGATTTGATTAAACCTTTACCTTTACGGCTCCATCTCCGTCGTCTGCAAAAGAACAAGAAGGAAGATCCCAACAGCAAGGCAGCTAAAATGGCAATGATAAGAATCACCCACATTTGCTTATGACTATGAGGATGATCATGTGTTTGAGAATCCTCTAGCAAATGAAATCTCTTGGCCATGCATGTGATGAAATGAGTAAATGTCCTACACCAAACTGCTATATCATTTCATGAAGAATGTGGTTTACTTTTCTTGTGATATCTGAACAAATTCCATGGAGGATGAACATAGTATAAAAGAAGCAAGTAAGCTTTATCTGTTGTTTCCTATCTGATATATTATATGCAGGGCCCCCTCTCCATGTTATCATGGACTTGGTCTTCTCTTGAGACGGCACATTGGCCAAAGAATACAACAAAGTTTTCATGTCATTGTTGGAAAAAAAAAAGGGAATAGAATCTACATATTCTCCGGTTCAAAGCTGACATGTAATCACAACATACAGGATGGTCTTAGGGGTTGACGGGACAATCGTTCACTTGAAAATTTTAAATTTTCATATAATTTAAGTATTTTTTTAATATTTTTTATTGATGATCTATTTTTGTCCTTAAAGTTTTATAAGTTGTCGTCATAATATAAAATTCTAGATTCACCCATCCTGTCTATGTTGTTCCTTACCTCACATCTTTGTTTTCTTATTAATTCGGTGCTAGATTCCGAGGAATAAATTAGTGTCATTGAAGCAACTAATCTAAGGACCACGTACGTGGATTAATATATGAATCTCCAAGGCAATACATGGTTGAATGATTCCATATAAGACTCCATAAAAAAATGGATGAGTAAGGGAGATGGTGGACTAAGCGAATTAATTATCATAAATATTTAATTGTGGGATAAGATTGAAAGCAAGTATGATGAAGCACTTTCATGTCCTCTTGTTGTTGTTTCCATTTTGATTTCATTATCAGTTTAAGGGGTTTCATTTATAGGTAAAATATATTTTTTGTCACTCAACTTTGGCTTTATTTTTGCTTTGGTCAGATAACTTTAAAAGTTTTCTTTCTGATCACTCAATTTTCTAATTATTCTTTTTGGTCACTTAACTGTTTAAGTCAAAATGACATCATTTTGGATCCCTATAAAAGTAATTTTGGTCA